ATCTGAGCACTTCCCTTACCTATGTTGGGGTCGAGTCAGCGTTGAATTTACAGATTTTGACACCGCTAAGCCATACTGGTCCATGAAATGACGGCATGGGTGCGCTTGGTTCCTGGCTATGGCTTTGGCGTTCCTTGTTTTCCTTAGGTTCGCTCTCTGTTTAGCGCTGCCTCTTTCCAGCGATATGCTCCTCAATGTGATTAGCATACGCTGGGTCCGAGGCATTACACCAATTTCGGGTGGCGAAGTGTGCCTGTCCGTTCTTTACTTCTTCTCTAGTCCATGTCAGCTGTTTACCTCTTCTTCTCTTCAGGCGGGACTTTCCCGTGCGCTGTAAAGCTGCTTTCTCAGTATCACTACAACCACCTCAACCTACTTCCATTTCAGTGGAGGTGTGGCCGCTGGCGAGACAGTTCCTACGATCCTTGTGCACACCGTTGGTAGCAGCCTCGCCTTCCATCGACGTTTGGACCGATATTGCGGTCCGTTTCGTTTCGTTGTCGTCCTCCATTACGAGTTTTAGATTCGTGGGTCTCTACACCTAGCATTTTATACCTACCGCCAGGTACCTCATTAGCAATGGCCGTTTTACTACCTATTCAACCAACTTCTGAAGATACATATAAAGCAGTCCAACATAAGCGTATGATTGGGAAAATACGTCAGCCTTCGCTAGGAGCCGCCTGCTTGCAATGTATGGTCTCTGCCAAAAGTCAGCTTGAGATCATGGCATTGTAAGCAGCGACACCCATTGCCTACTCGACACTCGCGCCAAGGATACAGCTAAAAAGAATTTTTGCCGACCTTTATTATCAAGCCTAGAGAATTTTTTTTTTCTGGTAACAATCATATATTATAGCTTAGTGTTGAACTGAAAGGTTCACTAATTAACCAAGCCCTCTATCGGTCAGTTTGTGCGTTTTATAGTTTTTCAAATAATTTCGAATTGCTCTTCATAGTTTTTCTTTTTCAGTAGATTCTTTCGAACTCTTTAACTGCTTTATTACCCTAATACGTAATTTCTTGAACCATTTGTCTCATTTTCTCTATAAGGTACTCTCTATAGAGCTTCTCAGCAGTCTCTTCCTTAGAAGCTGAAAATAGAAATGCATAGATTATTTCCTCCTACCTTTTAATCATTGACACTGTTTGCTGACCCACTGCCCGTCGACGACATTTCGCATGCCAAACCCACATTTATCGACGAGTCGGCTATTTCTGTATCAATTGCCCATTGACTACGGACTATTGACTTTGCGTGTTTCAATTTGAAAATAGGAGTTCCCTTCGCCTACTGCGCTCGCAGCAGATATAAATATTCGACACAAAGCGATTAGGCGACCTTCGAACGCGAACGCAATCCAAATAAAGATGTCTAAAAAGAGAGCAAGTTTTTGCATTTCCTTTGCTAATTGCGTACAAATTAAAAGTATTTACGGACATATGTACATATGCAAATGTAATACATACGTACATACATACGTATATATACATATATATATATATATATATATAGAGTTAGTCTACCGCCTGCTATTACGATTAAATTTGCATTTTGGCAATGATTTGCATGGCTCAACGAAGTAGTGCGGTAATCTTTTCCGATTGTTGTCTAATAGCAATAAAAACAATAGAAACAAAACAATTCGTATGACATAATTTGGCAAGCGCGCAAAGAGACTAAAACAGAGGTTGATAAACAGATTGATACTATGTATGTATTTGTAAGTGTGTATATGTGTTGATAAAAAACATCAAATAATTTGCTATTTTATTTGTATGCGACACCTGTCTATCCACATAATTGATGCAGTAACTGAGAGTTTCCTGAAAATGCTTTTTCTTTGACTTCATAATATCTAATGTCAGTTGATCACGTCTTCCAAGTGATCAGTTAAGTTTACCGAGATCAGCAGACCTAAAAGAGGGAGAATGGCATAGACTGCGTATGATTTTGAGTCTGAAAATACTGGAAGGAGCTATAGAGATCCACATCTTCCAAATACTGGTTGGGAATAATCTCTTACTCCCTCTCTTTGCAGTTATAAAAACTACTGATGCCCATTTTTCAAAATCTACAACAAAGTTAACGTCATGTGAGAATGTCAGCTCCTCTGAAGCCCCTTGCTCTTTGGTTTATAAATGCGCTTCAACTTCAGAGACTTTTTTCTCACAAACATTTTCAGAATTAACTTTATAACATCTAACTCCAATGATTTTTAACTTTACGCGTGATAGAGCACGTAAATCAACTTCGAGAAGTTAAATGCCAAGGAGTATTCTATAGACCAAGGCGGAAGCCCTGTTAAGAAGTGAGCAAAATACTTGTAATAGTGAGATAAAACTCATTGGAAAAGAAAGAAAATATAACAACAATTAAAAGAAAAATTTCACGAGCTATTTGGAATCAGGAAGTGGAAAGAAGGATGCTTAGCTTACTAAAAGTAAAGAACGATAAAAGAGGATTTATCGCGGTTTTCAAAAAAACTAAAAGTCTCATAGTGAAAAGTTAATTGCCAACTTGGTGGTAATGAAAATAGACAAAGCAAGAAGCTAAAATGAAAACCTATGGAAGCCAGACCAGACCTCTGGAACGGGTTGGAGATACACTATACGGATATCCAGGTAACGGAGCTTACACAAACAGCACGCTTATCCAGGGCAATTTCATAGGGACGCTACAAAAGTAGACTGATAGAGACAACAAATGACGCCATATTTCCTCCCGCACTTTTGACATTTCTCTTCAGTAAGGTTTGTCATTTCGTCGTTGAAAGAGCGAAAAGATCTTGGCCTGGAGCAACAATTTGAAAATGATCCGGATTTTCGTCGTGAAGTCATCTTGAGCGAAGAGGCTTTTTTCTGGCTGAATGGCTTCGTCAATAAGGACAATATGCGTTGTTGGTCAGGCAGCAATCCACCCGTATTCCACGAGTCACCATTGCATCAGGAAACAATTTCGGTTTGGTGCGGTTTCTGGGCCAGAAACATTATTGGGCAGTATTTCTTCCGTGATGATCAATACCGGCAAGTTACTGTGAATGGGAATCGCTACCGTTTAATGATAACCGAATATCTTGGAGATGAGTTGGATGATATGGACTTGAACAATATGTGGTTTCAACAGGACTGCACCACAAGCCACACATCTAATGTCATAATCGAGATATTCAAAAACCAAGTTCGATGAACGTGAACGTCTTACGAAATAGCCCAGTCAATTAGCCTTCTCGGTCGTGAGATTTGACGCCGTTAGACTATTTCCTGTGGGGCTATATCAAGTCTATGGTCTATGAAAATAAGTCAGCGACAATTGATGAACTTCGTAATAGGCAAGTGGTCTCCAGGCAACAAAAAGTTCATAATTGTAGGACATTTTTTTGGCGAATGAAACACCAACTTCACTAGATCTACAACTGGAGTTTCTGCACTAATTCGAAGGTAACAGTGCCTATGTGTTTGTTGCATGGAAAAACTTTGAGAAACCTGCCCTTACGGCCCATCTTAATGTGTGTGTTTTTTTTTTTTTTTTGAACACTGTACAAAAATATATGAACACTGTAGTTTCGTCCTTCGCTTCTTTTTTTTCGGGTTTCTATAGAATCTAAAGTATAGATTAAAATTCTAAACGGTCTAAGAGAGAGTGATAGAAGATTCTGCAACCATTTATTGTACCGTTGCTCTATCTTAGCCAAGGTAAAAACATAATTTTTTTCTCCGTTATTTCTCACATGATGGATGTGATCATAAATTTATAAATTTTGCTTATTTTCAACAATTCACATTTATATTCGCATAACTTGCATGCAATGCCTTTCAACATCATAAAAATGCACTTCAGCTATCAAAAATATTCATATCGGCGATTTATGTGTTTGTATGTGTGTGTTTGTGAATGTTTCGACTGCTTGAAAAGTAATATATAATATAGGCAATATTTCTGGCACCAGAATCCACAACTCGCATGTTGAGTTGCAAAACACACCTGAAAAACTGCACAAGACCCAATTGCTTTTGGCAAAGAACCGACGAATGTGTGAAAAGTCGAGCGTGTTCAGAACAAAGGCATGTAAATATGGTAAAAATATTTGCATGTAAAAATAACAAAAATAAACAAAACGCCAAAAAAGTAGCTACAATCTTACAACAAAAGAAAAAACACAAAAAGAATTCGCGTCACACATATGCACACACATAGGCACTCGCATATTGAGTACTCATACCCACAAAGTGCTGTGGAGTGGGTGGTTGATGGCTGGCTTGGCAAGTGGTGAGTTTACTGGTGCGTCACACATACTCACCAAATGAAAATAAAATAACGCAATTTTCCCAACTTTGGATACCAAAGCAGCTGATTCACTGCGCCTTCACTACGACGAACAGCCGAGGTTTGCTTGTGAAGGGAAACGGTCACCGGTGGAATTGACTTGATGACGACTGTGGTGAATCTTGCCGCGTTTCCACCATATATGTGTTTGTGGTGGCTGTGAGTGTATAACGCAGGCATTCACCACTAACATTGGCAGCAAACGTTTTTGTTTGTTCGAATGCATGAATGGCAAGTGCTTGAGGTAGGAAACTTGGTCTTTTGGACGGTCGTGCGGCGTCGCAAATTTAGTCATCTAGCAATCAGCAACAGAGAAACAAGTGAAATTCTCTTTTAAAATACAAATTTTTTCTTGAAATACGACAAAACGTAGCAGAACCAAAGACAACAAAGAATTTCAAAAATACAGTGACAGCTTAAAATTTTTTTTAGAAAAATATTTTCGAAATTTTTGCGTGAAAAAAATCGTGTTTGTTATTGTAGTTCGTAAAAACTTGGCGTTTTTTATAAAATTTAATGTACTGACACATAACAAAACGTCAGAAATTTATAAAAATCTACTTAAGTCATTTAAAAGACGCAAAATATTTTAAAATAAACACTAACATATMAAAAAAAAAAAAATAAAACTTTTAATATAATAATAAAGTTAAAACAAATTAAAAAAAAAAAAAATGCAAGTTTTACTGCCGGAACAAAATTTGTCACCGACAACCACGGTGGTGGTAGGCGACAAGCTAAAAGTCGTCGATGAGATCCAAAGCCTGCTGGAGGCGGCTAAAGTAGGCAGCACCAGCTTGCCCCATGATGGCAATAAAGAAAATGTTGAAGAACAGAAAAGTGACAACAAAACCAGACACGCCGCTAAATTTGATGACAACAATAACAACAGTGATACGAGCAATTTGAATGTTGGCGACAAGGCGGTGGGAAGGTAATTACAGAAAACTTTATTTTTCCCTTATTTTTCAATTAAGAATTAAGAAATGCAAAAAAAAATAATAATTTAAATAATTGAAAGGCAAAACCTGCGCTACTACCGGCTAAACAAGTTTTAATTAAAAAGCTGTTATTTTACAATATCATTAATTAAATTGTAATTAGGCAATACTTATGCTTAAAGTGAAAAGTGAGTTAAGTCAACTTAGGTGTAAAATACTAAATAAGAATAATTATTGCAAAAATTTAATATTTCACTTTCTATTACACTTCAATTATTTAAGTAATTAATATAATTATTATATTTTATGTTTTTGACTTAATAATTTAGCATTATTGAGTGAACTAATACAAAATTCATAACTGTCGCTCATGTCGACTTAAGCCATTTTTACTGTTTAGCTTAAAAAGAAGCTCATTTCATTTAATTACATTTCGATTGCGACGTGGTTAGCAAATTTCTACTGATAGCAACTGACAATCTTATCTTGGGGAAATCAAGTATTTAAACTCAGGTGCATAAAATTGTAGATAATGCAAATACCAATAAATTGTTGCTAGAAACTACTTACTTTAGCTATAAACAATCATGTATGTCTGCTTAACTTGGCATTGTTATTAAGCAGAACAAAAACTGAAAAAGAAATTTACGGTTACATGGCGATTACTTTTGTTTTAATTCTAATGTAATTATATATGACTATGATTACATAATTGTCATTACTCTAAACATAATGTAATATATGATTCTGAAAAAATAATGCATTTTAAAAAGTTTAATGATTACCATTACTGTAATCAAACTCATAATTTTACAAATTTATATAATTTAAATATTACTGAAAAATATAATTTTTAATTCTATTGAAGTACATGTATATAACATTAAAAATTTCATAGTAATCATGAATAAACGTAATCCTGAAAATTACAGCTTATTCGCCAATCGAATACTTAAAATCGGATGTTTATGATTACTCCAATGCTAATCAAGCAAAGTAATTGCGAAATATGCATTACATTCTAAAAATCTAATGATTACCATTACTATAATGATATTCATATGTATTATGATTACAATTTGTAAAATTTTTATATTCTTCTGATTGGAGTAATGAAATCCATTAATTTCTAAAATATACTTGATACCAAAAAAATAATGATTACCTTTATAATCATATATATTATGATTACAATTTTAAAAATTTTATCTTAAGTACAAGTAACTGTTATTTTAACACTTACATATTAAATATTCAGTATTCAATACAATGTAACGATTTTCGAAGATACTGATTACTTAATAACAAATTATGACTGCATTGAAACTTAGTTTTCTGTACTTATAATTCTAATTAGCCTATTTAAATACGTGATTCCCAAAAATATATTAAATTTTAAAAATGTAATGATTACCATTACTGTAATCATATTCATATATAATGTGACTACAATTTTAAATATTCTGTCGTAATTATGGGAAACGTTAGATTTTTAAAATTATAGATGAATTTTTAAAGATTACATTCAATATAATGATTTTTGAAGCCACAGATTACTTAAAAAACCCGGCGTTTATGTTTATATTGCGCTTGAGATTACTGATATTATAATTCTAATGGAAGACTACTTGATTATAACTACAATAATTTTGATTCCGATCATAGTAATGAAATATATAATACCCAAAAATGCATTATACTCTAAAAATTTAATGATTCCTGTAATTATACTCATAATTTTTCGGATTGCAGCTTTGAAAATAGTATATTGATCATGACGAATTGTAAAATCCTGAAGATTACAGAATAATTTTTAATGATTGCATTCAATGTAATGATTTTCAGATGTATAGTATTGTAAAATTATTTTATGTTAACTAGTGCGGTTATTTATTCAAAACTCAGAAGTTTATTTAAGAAAAACAAGTTCAAGTGTATATTTCAAAGTGCTGCCCATTTGATGCTATAACATTTTCTCAACTTTCTGACAGTTTCAAGCTTATTTTTGGTACTCAGTTCTGATATGAACAGTATTATAGTAGGCTTAGGGTAGTCAGAAGCGACAAGGTCTGTTCTATAACGCGAGTGAATAGCCTCTTGTCCAGTTAAAAACTCCAAACGTTTCCTGCACTCGTACGCTTTAGTTTGAACAGTTGTTGTCGGTAGAGTTTCCCTTTAAAGGTTTCACTCGGTTTTAGAAGCTTCAAATTCTCATCCGGCCACTTTTAAAGGTTTGAATTGAATGCTTGAGTGCCCAGCAAAGACTCTGCGAGCTTTTCTTGTATTCGGCAATAATCTTCATCGAGTTCAATTTCAGTTCTTCATCCTTAAACTTGTTTGGTCTGCCCGAAACGTTCGTAGCAGAAACCATCACATTTAAATTGTACAAAACACCTTTGCTAGAACAAGGCAAAAACCTCATCTGTCATCCTTTTAGGTATCCAGGTGTTATAGCCGAAACAGGGATAAAGCAGATTTGTGATAGATTCAATAGATATGCAAAAATTAAATAAAATTTAATGTGTTTAATCATTTTGCTATGAGCTGAATTTCTTGACGGTATACAATACGGGGCTGGGAATATATTAAAAGAATTTCGTATGTCGAATGAAAACTCAGGAAAGTAAAGAAAAGTGTCTAGAAAGAAAAAGCTGACAGGTGAGTGGAAATTAATTTTAACGCCGACATCGAAAGCAAATATGAAGGGTCACTTTTCTTCAAACAACACTCAGGTTTAGCCATTGCCATAAGTGCAACGTCAATCTAATTGACAGCCAACTGGCGCCACTTTTGAAACAAACACCTACACCAAAGAGTCTCTTCAATTGCCATTGAAATTTGTCGACTGGCTGGTGGGTGTGAGAATAAGCGCGACTACCTCAATATGTTCCAACATACCTTCATACATACGTTTGTGTAGTAAACCAGCTTTGTTTTTGCGACGCTCCAGTAAATTCGCTGTCAAGGCCAAATGGCGTCATGCCTTGTGTCGCGACAGCTTAAACAAAAACAAAAACAAAAAATTAATGCAAACAACAAAAACACTTTATGGCTGTGATCACGCGAACAAAAATTACTAAATGACTGCAAATACAATACCGCTGAAAAGGTATGGACGGCAGTGTGTGTGGCAAGTGTGAGTATAATTACACTTTTCCATTTACAAAAAATTACAAAGGTTGACGCTATAACAGTGGAAATTATAAAAGTTGCAATCAGCAAGCAATTGAATCTAAGTGTGTACTAGTGACGCATTGCCAGAGGTCACTCGCTGGAGTGCTTAGGCGGCGCGGTGTGTGGCTTGAAGTTAGCCACGAGACTTAGACATGCCCGTGTGATTTTAATTAATGCAATTACGAGCGCGCATATCATTGCAGATAGCGGTAATTTAGCTGTTTATGTGTTTTGTGGCCAGAAACTGTAATTATATGCAGCTGATGTAATTGCTGTGTGAACTAATTACTTCCATGTGAAGTGCACTTTGATAGTAAAGTGTCACAACTCAAAAACAATAAAAATAAAAATTAAAAATTTAAAAAAATTTTAGAAAATCTGTGAAAGATTTTAAAAGCATTTAAAAAATATAAATATAAAATTTTTTTTCTTAGCAAACATATGCTTTTCTTCATGTATTAAAATCAAAATTAACGAAAAAAATTTCCAATTTCTGTCGACAATTTAAGAAAAGAAATTCATTAAATTTATATTCAGTCCAAATAGAAATTGATCAGATGGTAGAAAAGTTTACACAAATGTATAAAAAATATTTTTGCTAGTAAAAATAAGCTTTTCTCCATGTAAGAAAGTCAAAACTAACGAAAGAAATATCAATTTCCTGAAGACAGCTTTTTTTGGAATTTTGTTTTGTAGTTCTATTTAAAAAATATTCATAATTTTTTTTAACATATTTTTATTATTATTCCTATTTATTTTTTTTTATTTTTTGTTAAAAATCAAAGTTCATAAAAACAAAAAAAATTTTTTTTTAATGGAAAAAAATACACAAATGTTCAGTGATTAGCGTAACTAAAAATTAAAAGTTAGCTTCCTTATACCCGTCACCTGCGCTCCTCCTATTGTACTGTTCTCATTCTGTCTGTTTCCAATTTATCGCACTTTATTCTACTTTTTGTAAATTTGACCCATTCTCCAAGCCATCAGTCACTGCTCAATATTCTAAATATTTGCACAAAATGCTTTTTACACACGCACGCAGGCTCACAAATGTAGGTGCATCTGCGTAAATACATTGTTGCACTGGCTTGTTGCACGTTGCTGATGTGCACCAATTCAAAGACTGTGCGTTAATTCCTTTCGACTATTAGAATTCCACGAAAAGAGCGCAGTTTTTATGGCCCATTACGTTTCTGCTGGCTGCTGCAGACGGGCAGCTGTTTACCGTTACGGCTCAAATGGCCGAGGTGAAAAACAGCCGGCGACATTTATGACAACATCAATTATGGTGATGGTGAAAGTGTGTCAGTAGTTGAGATGGATATGTGGGTATGTGTGTGTGATTTTATTTTTAAATAGAGAGATGTATGCTATTATTAGTCAAAAGAGCTGAAGAATGCGTGCGAATATTTTTGGATTTTTTTTGCATTTTTTAATTTAATTTTTTGTTTTGAAATATTTCAAAAAGAAGAACTATTAAAAATAATTTAATTTATTTTCAATCGTTTTTTCTAAAATTTTATTTCTTATTTTGAGTTATTAAAAAAGATGTTAAAAATATGTTTATTTATTTAAAATGTATATCATATATTTTTATTCTCAGTTTTTTTATTTAAATTTTTTTTTTGAAATATTGCAAAAAAACATTAAATATAATTTTATTTATTTAAAATTTTATTTACATTAAAGAACTCTTCCAGAACTTTACTGAAAATAAATATTTTTGTATTTATTTCAATACTAATTATCATTGACGGCTTATATAAGTTATATTGCCAATATTATTGACGTAAGACTGTCGCCAAAAAATCAGAAATTT